CCAGGGATCCCGGGGACTCCCCCCTGCCCTGGGCAGCCCATTCCAACGCCCAACAGCCCCTTCTGCACAGAAATCCTTCCTCAGAGCCAGCCTGACCCTGCCCTGGGCAGCTTGAGGCCATTCCCTCGGGGCCTGGCGCTGGCTCCTTGGCTCCAGAGACTCATCCCCCCTCTCTGCCCCCTCCTGGCAGGGAGTTGCCGAGGGCCAGGAGGTCTCCCCTCAGCCTTCTCTTCTCCAGATTGAACCCCCCTAGTTCCCCCAGCCGCTCCCCAGCAGACCTGTGCTCCATTGTCCTCCCCTCTTGATAGGACGGGCTCTAATTAAACAGCAGCAGGCCTGGCAGGTATACAGGGTGTGTTTTACATATATAGATGTCTATAACTTCAACAGGGATCATCTGCTGTGACTACTTAGGCATGATGGCACTGAGCTTCCCCCTTGTGATAGGGGCTTGAATCTCCCCTGGTGAAAGGGGAAGCAAAACCACATGTGTGAGATCAGGCACCTCGTAAGTAGAGGGATGGTGGGGTTTTCCCTAATTAATAAAGTGTCCGGGCTCCCTCCTTCGCCTTTCAATTATACTGAGGTCTGTAACTTCTTAGAAGGTTTTTATTAAGTGCAAGTTGGGGATTTATGGTCTTGTCAGTACAGAGGCAAATAAATATGTTGTTCTCACTTAGCAACCTGAGCTAAATTCTGACAAAAGTAGGTGTTTTGTCTTCTTTTGTATGAGAGAGAGAGAGATGCAGTGTCATGTAACCATGACTGCCAGCCAGGCTGTATATTTTGTATTGATCTGTACACTTAAAATGTACATTCTCTGGACTCAAACATTTTCTTTTATCTTACCTTACCGGGTCACCTCGGTGTTAAAAACTCAGGTGATTAATGCCATTAATAACTTCGGTGTTATCGGCTACTAATGACTCACCTTGGAGTCACTGCCGGCCGCGGCATACGGGAGGGTGTTTAAAGTATCTCTTCACAGGCAGAGCCAGGTCTTCTCATTTTAAAAGCGCCTCCTGGCTTCCTGACCCGAAATCCTGACTCTGGACCAGCCAGTGGAGGGAGGGAACTGGTGCCAGTATGGTTTACTGATGCTCTGACTGACTGTATGGGTGCACGCGGTGCTTTCACAAACTGTGAAAATCTACAGAGTTAAACTTGAATATGTATAGAACCAAACTAAATTAAAACTGGAGAGAAGCAAGACAGTTTTAATGAGCTAATCTGGTTTGCTGAGGTATCCCATGATAAACTGCAAGGGAAAAAAGAAACATTCCTGCTAGTCTGGAGCTTTGTACAGATCAGTTTTAGGACCCTGGGCACTGTTAATCTTGGTTTATGGGTTTGGATATGTTTTCATCCTGCTGTAGCAGTTGGAGATGTTGCCTCCCTTCAGCTGCTTGTCACCCCTCTTGTCCCTGCAGTGGCTGTGCAGAAGTGGAGCGTGCGAGTGCTTTGTGGCTTTGGGCAAAGAAAAAGATGGCTTTGGGGAGTCTGAGGGTGCCGCCAGCAGAGCCCAGGTGGAGGTTAATCCCTCCAGCTGCTCCTGCCCGCTAAAGGCTGGTGCCTCCATGAGCCCAAAACAGGAGTTGAAAGCAGAAACCAGCAACATCTGCTGAAGTTAAGTGCAACGAGACCACTTGGGCAGGAGCCAAGGGCAGGGCTCTCGCTATGGGGTAGCGCTTGTGCTGCAGTGACCCCCCTGCACGTGGTACGGGAACCCCTGCAGATCTTGGGGTGTCCCCGGGAGGGTGGGCTTGGCTCTCAGCTCTTGCACGGTTGGGAAAGGGAGACAGAAGCAACGTGACTTGGTGTTGGGACCTATGTAGGAAGCTTTTCAGGGCAGAAACTCAAACCTAGATGCTCCAGGACTCAAATTCCTGCTCTCGCAGTGGGAAATCATTCCTCTCTGACGCAGGTGTCTTAGTCATCCTGAGGCAACTTTCATCTGTACAGAAGCCTTGGTGATGTTATTTCCACGAAAATACAACTTTTTGGCAACTCCTGTGGTGACTGTAGGGTTTCTGCAGAGCTTCTGAACTCTTGAAACACAATAATTTGTCTTTGAGATTTTTGGTTGTATTCCCACGGGTTTCATAGATTCTGATTCCTGCAGGAGTCTCAGCCGCAGTTGGAACTGGTCAAGCACAAAGGTTACACAAAAATTAGAACTCTTAAATTTTATATTTAGCTATATCAGGAAAAAAAAAATAAAAGTTGTGTAGGAGTCTAATGAGCAAAGCCCAGTGTGGGTCTGAGAGACCAGGTTAAAGGAGGGGCGGCTTTTGGACAAATGGACGTTGCAAAAATGATATTTTTAAACCAGCTGGATTCCCCCTCCCC